TCTTTCCTGTGGTTTTTCCATGTGTTCGGGGCCCTCGACTTTTTGAGCGTCCAACGCTCCATGACGGCCCAAAGAGGCCCCCAAGACCGCCCCACGACGGCCCAAGATGCCTCCAAAAGGGCACCCAGACGACGCAAGAGGGCTCTGAGACGGCCCCAAAGGCGCCCAGGACGGCCCGAAGACATTCCCAAGAAAGGCCCAAGAGGGGGGAACACGAACAGGAAATCCGAGTCTTCCGCCCCACGAGGCCCCAAGGAGGCCCCAAGGAGGCGCCGAGAGGCCCCCAAGAGGTCAGAAGAGACGCCAAGAGGCCCTCAAGACTCAGCCCGACGAACATCCTCGAAACCTATGACCCAGAGCCCAGGCACGGAAACGAGGATGGGCCGACGGCCACAAGACAGATCCCCTGACCGTCACTTGCGCTTCGGAACTCGTACCCTTCCTACTTACGCAAGTGGCTGGGTATTACTGAAGGGGCCTTGGGACACACAAATGAATACACACAAACAACAGGATTCCCTCTCTTTTCAAATACTTTCTGGGTCTTGTATCTTCCACCCCAACTTCCAGATTTTCCAGCATGTTCCAAGGAATCGACGATGACTTGTGTCTGTGTGCTTCTGCCCCTCCTGACGCGTTGCCGCCCGGGCCGCCTCGTGGGCGCCCCGTGCACCACGGGGGGGGGGGTGTTATGGCGAGGCTTCCCCGCGGTGCCGCCCGCGCCGCCTCGTGGGCACCGCGTGGGCGCCCCGCGCCCGGAGGGCACAGATTGAAGGGGCCCTGGGGCGCACAAAGAGATACACACAACCAACAGGCTTCCCCGTCTGTCCCACATGTTCGGGGTTTTTTGGTCCTCCCACCGCCCACAGTCTCCCCTATTTTCTGGATGGTTCGTCGACGAGTTGCGTCTGGGTGTTGCTTCCCTCCTGAGATCTGCCGAGGCCTTGGCCGCGCTGCCGCCAACGCGCCGCCCTGCGAGGGCCCCCTCTGGCGCCCCCCGCGCGCTGCGGGGCGTGTTTGCCGGAGCTCCGCCACGGTGCCGCCCCGTGGCCGCCCCGTGGGCGCCCCGTGCGCGCCGAGCTCGCGCGGCGCAGGCGCGACGGCGTGGCCGCAGACGCGCACGACACGCAGCACGTCCTGCATCGCACGGCTCGCGCCCCATCGCTTCCGCCTCCGATTCCCGCCGCTGGCCGCACGCGGCGGAGCCTACACCACACAGCGTACACCGCGGAGTCTTCACCCCCACGACTCGCACCGCAGAGCTTACACCGCATGGGGTTCGGCCCCATCGCCCACACCGCATAGATCTCACCACCAGCGCAACAACGCACGGTGTGGGGGGTTCACGCTGGCCAACCTGTTCCCTTGCCTAGCACCAGTGCAAATTCAATGCGGTTGCGCATCAGCTCGCAAATATGTTAGATTCGGAAACAAACATGGCGCGTATGCGATGCACCTGACTCAACTGTAACCAATCCACACACCGACGCGAAACGTCTTCCGCAAGTTTCAGATCCGCTTGCCCCGCAAGGCTGAGATGCATGCTACTGGACAACTGTCATATATGTTATGCGTGTTGCCTTTGACGTATGTTGTCTCTCCAACCATGTCCTGTATCCTGTCATACAATTTACCTGAGCAGAGCGACCTACCAAACAAAGACGGGGGGACCTCACATGCGAACCTGATGCAAGGAGTAGCGCGTGCGCGTAAGACTTAGGGGTAGGGAATGTCGTTGGGAGCGCAAGCTGCGAAGAGGAGGAAGAGCGGGAGGGCCGGGAGGGGGCGCAGGGAGGAGAGGAGAAGGGAGGAGGAGGGCAGACCAGAGAAGAGGCAGCTGGAGGGCAAGGAGGGGAGAAAAGTCAGAAGGACGAGGAGGACGGGGAGGACAAAGGGGGGAGGAGGAGGAGGAGGAGGAGGAGGAGGAGGAGGAGGAGGAGGAGGAGGAGGAGGAGGAGGAGGAGGAGGAGGAGGGGGAGGGGGAGGAGGAGAGGAGGAGGAGGAGGAGGAAGAAACCCCAAATTCAGAAAGACCAAGTCGCCGAACCGTTGCCCAGGCGTCGTCGAGCCTCCTTATACTCAAAGTCGACTCGCGGACCCGTCCCGAGCTCGGCCCTGGCCAGGTTTCGGAGCTGCGCCTGGCCGCAGCAACGAGGGCACCCCAGGAGGCACCGAAAACGGCTGCACTCGAGCTCGCCATCGTCGACGTCTTCGGCCTCCCCCTCCTTCCTCGGGCGCGGTCCAGACAGATCCCCGGGAGCCTCCGAAGGGCGCCCCCGCCACGACCGAGACGCGCAGCCGGTCGGGCTCATCGTCCCAGTGAGCCGAGTACACCTGTCAGGAAGTGGGGGGGCACCCTCCCAGAGCGTTATATCGAAGGGGAGCAGGCGGGCAATTCCTGTGCTTCGAGTGGTCCACACCGAAGAACGCGAGGCGGGCTACCGGGATATCCAGGGGCAACTGACATCCTTTGGACCTGGCGGCCATGGCATGCAGTCGTCACTCGTTGAACACGGGAAGGGGAATACCCAGGGAGCACCGGTACACTTTAGGCTTGGCGGCCGCGGCACGTATGCAGGGTGTGCAAGGCGTGTCGGGAACTCTGTTCTTGAAATCTAAGATCCCCAGCCAGTCGGGTGGAGAACAGAACGGCCAAACACTGGAGGCGATGGCAATGACAATGGAAGTAAGACTGGCAGTCGAAAGCCCGCTGGCTCAAAGAGCGAGGAGATCTGTCCCACGGCGCTTGGAGGGAGCCCTGACTGGCCACTGCGCAGGACCGCCCGACTCGAGACCGAAAACTTGGCCAGGATCGCCCCCCGCCGAGGTCACAAAGAAGCGAGGAGGAAAGGAAAGAAGGAGGAGGAGGAGGAGGAGGAGGAGGAGGAGTCCGGTGACGGAGAAGAGGCCAGGAGAACGGGCTCTGGGGGGAGCAAGACCCGGGCTCCACAAACGAGGACTCGCCCGAGAAAGCTGCAGCCGCGAATCAAAAATGATCCACCAGTATTCCCTCATGTTTTGCCCCGCTGGATCTGGCAAGATCCTGGCTTGCAGTGCCCTGGCTTCTGGTGGCCCGTCAGGGGGCGGGAAAGCAAAGGCCAGATGGCGAACGGCGACGAGCAGACGTGCGCGTGTCCCCGCGATCACGCGACCCACCGTTGGCAGGCCGGTGCGCGGCCTGGCATGCGCCCCGTGGAGCGCAAGGCCGCTGCACCAGAGAGCGGCACGGAATGTGAGAGCGCCGCCAGCGCGTGGCACCGCCAGACGATCCGCCGGTCAGCGCATCGTGATAAAGCGCAGGTCAGCTGAGCACGGGTCGCGAGAGCGTGCAGCTCGACGTCGTCTGGACGCCCAAGGAACCCCCTCTAGACACCCCAGACATCCTCAGTTCCGAAAGCCCTCAAGCAGAGCGGGGCCAAGACGCCCCCCAAACACCCCCGGATGCGCGGCTCTGCAGCGGCACGGTGGCGCCGGAGCCGACTCGAACCGCCCGTCCCGCCTGGCGCGCCGAGCGCATGAGCTCTTCCTCCCAGGAGCCGGCCAACACGCTCAGACCAGGGCGCGGCGTCCGCTGCACAGTGACTGTCGCTCGACATGACGCTCGTGAGAAACCAGACACGGTATCCGCAAACACAACCACTCCGCAGCTGCAAAAATGTTGCGCTCGATCCGCCGCCCCGCCGCATGTACACTTGTGAACGTCCTCAGGTCCATCCGAATTGTCTGGAGTGGGCACTGTTACTGCATTGCCTCGCGCTCCTGTGCAACAGGGGGCATGACGACCCCCATCCGAGGTTTCGTGGTGTTTTCGGATGGACCAAACATTCTGGGCCCAACCCTGGGATATACGACGGGGGGGCGTCCATCCTCGATGGGGGTGCGTCCAAGTAGCCCCTTGGGGCGTGTCCCAGGGTGTTCCCCTCCTTTTCTTAGCGGCTTCACTTTTCGTCAGACAGCCGTGGGCTGGCGGAGAAAATCGCCTGCGAGGGTGGTTTGGTGGGCGATGCACTGCAACGCTAAAAGCTGCGGATGCATGCTTGTTGTTATCAAAAACAGGCTTGCCTAGAGAATTATAGCTCAAACCCTAGACCTGGTCTGGATTTGCTCCCGTCCATGTTTCACCCATGTGCGATCTTGGGCAGGCGAATTCCCCCAACGATGCTTGCGCCCAGAGTTTTTCACTTCGGCTACTTGGGGAAATTTGTTGGACGTGATGGGGTATGTGCTGGTGTCCGGATCGCTAGCGCCCCAGGGGGTTTCGCGGGCGCCTCGTGTTGAGTGGGTGTGCCGAAGCTTCGCCTGGCGCCTACCCGCGGGCGCTCGCTTGTTTGGTGGACGCCCCCAGTGTGCTCCCCCCTCGACAAAAACACACACACACACATAACAAAAAACGCATCGCGCATGCGGTGGGGCACGAGCTCCCTGGCAAAACCATAGAAACTGTTTACTGTAATTGTTATATGAAGCGGTCCTTGCCCATTCTTGAGTACGAAAACCAAGGACATCATCACGCCTGTAATCGTGATGCAATGAGACTGCTTGGCCATGTTGAAACAACGCCTTCGCAAATCCGCCGCTGTGCCCCGAAGCACCAAAGGGAAAATCCTTGGGTCCTCAAGGGGTCCGTGTTCTCTGCACTCACGACTGGGTGACAATTGCTTGGGGCTGGGGGCCCACATTCGCAAATTGTCTCGGCGTCCCCGCGCGCTGTTGGGCTCTGCCGCGTGGATTATCCGGAAACCACAAAGCCCCACGACAGGCCAGGAGTGCCGTAACAAAAAACGCCCAGGAACCCTCAAAGATGATCCCGAAAACGCCCAAGAGGCCCCCAAAAAAACCCAATAACGCTCCAACAAAAAAACCCAAGAGTGCCCCAAAAAACAAAACGCATGTTCGATGTTATTCGCGTTCCCGCGTTTTCAGGCTTCCGGGACTGCCCCGCAGTGGGTTCGTTTCTGCGGGCCCCGGGGCCCGACACGGACCGACGACGACAACGACAAGAACGACGACAACGGGCTCGGGAGGACGTGGGGGGAAGGTCGGAAGAAATGCGGGGACTTGGAAGGATGTGGGAGTTGGCCCTGCGGCTGTTGAGGACTCCAACAGTCTGGAACACCTAGAGGTCGCTCTGGAGATTAATATCGATGGCGCACACGCCGATGGGCTGGCACTCTGTAAAGCGTTGGCAAGACCATACGTAGCTTGATTCGAAAATGGCCAATAGGATATGCAAAAATATGGGAGGGGGACAACTCGGGGACGAGGTGGGGGAAGAGGGGGGCGGGAGGGAATGGGCGAGGTTGGAAGGAGTTTTTTTTTGAATGGCACATAAGCAGATAAGAGCGAACAGCCACATCGTACCTCGGCTCGCCAGCACGCTTCGACATGTCACGAAATTCGGCCCGCAAATGCGAGCGAACGTTACGAAGAGAACGAGGAAGGGCGAGGGGGAGGACGAGGCGGAGGGGCAAGGGCACGTTGCGGATAAACCCCTATGGCCCAAACGGCCACTTCTAGCATCGTAATAACGCACAGCGCAATCCAGAGGGGAAGAAGAAGGAGAGGAGGAGTGGCAGAGGACGACGAAGAAGGGGGAGGGTATTAGTAGGCGGTGGAGCAGGCGGGAGGAGGCAGGATTATGTTATGCCATACAGCAACAGCACGCATGGCATCGTTCGACGTCACCTCTCCTTCGTCAGCGCCATGTGTAACAGATGCGGGATAAACGTTGCTCCACCCAGACATGGCTGCGAAATCCCCTGGCAGCTTTTCTTCCAGAGTTCCACTAATAGGAAGAGCATGGGAAGAGAACATCGGGATGCAAAACTAAACCACACTAGCCTGCGCAGTGCAATCGCCTGTAAGCGCCACAACAGGCAGGCAAGCAGCGACACATGCCTCTTAACACCACGCCGTGCCTATGAATTCGGAGCCGCAAACGGTGGGGAACCTGTAAACGCCACAACACGTTTGTGAGCACCACGCGTCCCTTTTCAGCACCACGCCACGCCTGTGAGCAAAGCGCCACACCTGATGAGGGGTAGGGGAGTTTCATGAGAAAATACGGCGCGCACTACAGTCGGTGAAAAAAACATTGCGAACCATACTACGAACAACAAAACAACGCGTGTAAACCAGAGTGGAAACCGCTGCATACCAACCACTGCGTACACAACGCACCACGTAAAAAAACCCAGGGACACACTGCGAAGAACTAGCTATACGAAGGAAACACCACACAGGAACACACGACATACACCACACTCCGTCACTGCGCAAAACACTACATGAAACAAAGCACACTGCATAAGAACACTGTATACAAAAAGCAAACACGACGAACAGCCCCCCAGAAACACGGCACAAGAGACTACGCAAGACACGCAACGCAAGAAACAATGCAGAAATCAAAGAAACCATACAACAATAACCGCAAAACCAATACGGCAAAACCCGCAAGAAACAATACGGCAAGAACCACAAGACAAACTACGGCAGAAAACGCAGGAAGCAATACGGCAAGACACGCAAGAAACAATGCGGCAGGAAACGCAGGATCCAAGACGGCAGGAACCAGCGCAGGAAACACCACGCAGGAAACACCACGCAGGAAACACCACGTAGGAAGCACCACGCAGGAAGCACCACGCAGGAAACACCACGCAGGCCACTACACAGGAAACAATGCGGCAGGAACCCGCGCAGGAAACACAACGAAGGAAGCAATACGGCAGGAACCCTCGCAAGGAACACAACGCAGAAAACACATCGCAGGCCACCACGCGGGAACACGCGCCGGCGTGCAAAACACTGCGTAAACAATAATCAATACGTAAAACACACTACGTAGGCAGATTATGCTGATGGTGATGATGATGTGGTTGAGGATGATGATGATGATGATGATGCTGATGATGATGATGATGATGATGCTGATGATGATGATGATGATTATGATGATGATGATGATGATGATGATGATGATGATGATGATGATGATGATGATGATACTGATTATGCTGCTGATGACGATAATGATCAAAAGGAGGAAGAAATCCAAGAGAAAACACTACGTAACAACAGCTACATAACAAACCAGTACGTATAAAAAAACACAAGAAAATAAGATGTTACAACACATAACAGAAAACAGCACCACGTAAAACACTACGCATTATTCTAATTCACGAGTAAGATTTCGATGTCACGATTAAGAGAAGCCTTGGAGGCACATGCTTGGCGAATTTTACTCATTTGCCACCTTCTGCGAGTCGCAAATTAAAACAGCCCCTTTTGCTGTCGAAATCAAATCAAAGGTACACCAGCTGCCCTGG